GGGAAACAGAAGCACAAATCCTGACATATACCCATGCATGCAACAGTTGGTGTCTATTTTTTGAATAACTTTATCAGGCTGGATTAATTTTTTCGAGATCTCAGGGTAGAACTTATTTTCATTTTGTAGTGATTTTGTACTACCAGTTCCAACCCCATCTGACTGGCTGCTTCTACACCAGACACTGACTGCACAGTAGCTCATTACTACTGCACACTAGCTTGTTACTACTGCGCAGTAGCATGGCATGGCATGAAGTGTGATGTGGCATTGCTGAGCAGTAGTAATGAGCTACTGCACAGTCAGCATCACCAAAAAGTCATTCAGGGATGCTACTGCACAGTAACTCTATTTACAGTGCAGTCATTTAATACTTGTGTATTCAAGTATTAAATGACTGCACAATAGCAACTGCACAGTCAGCATCTTGTGTAGATAGTCACTATCTAGCTATGTCTTTTTGCTCTTTTTTTTTTAATGTCACCCTTCTTCATATCTAGTTCTTGAATCTATAGGGAGGAGCAATGTGGAACTATAATGTTGGCTGTTTTCCATGTCAGGAACATCTTTATGCTGAGAACATTTCCCAGGTAATAAATCTGCCCAATTTATGACCCCTTATGCTGCTGTAGAAGTGTAATAGTTCTGTATTATACTGATGAATCAGGCATTATGTCTTTTCTAGTGAGACTATTGACATGTCAATTATTACACTATTATTATTTATAATCCTATAAATATAATCATATTACTATATAGCATGATACATGTGCAACCTAGCAGATAAAGAGAGACTTCTTGTCTGAAAGACTGTACAGTGTACAGCATGATGAAACAAGACACTGGAAGAGAGGAAGGAATACACAACAAGGCTATGCTGCTCCTTCAGTAATGCAGTTCAATCTATGCAAGCTCTGAGAAAGCAGTACTACTAAATCAGTACTAATTAAAGCTAGAGTTATGATGCCAACCTGCCTGTTATATTGGTGGTGATAAAAATTATATGATATGCACATTTGTCCTTTGGGAACTATATTGAAACCTCCAAATAGGTTTGCATAGTCCACTGAAAACCATGGGATGCTTGCCATTTTTGTTCACTACTGATCTGGCTGCACTTAAATCAGTGTCCTCTAGGCTTTATTCACCATTAGTCCCCTGATTCATCCCATTTCACACAATACAGTTGATTTAATTTAATCCTGCCAAAAAAAAAAAATAATTACTAACAAATTGGACAGTTTTTTGTTGTTATTTTCTGAATTTGCAAATTATTAGACATAATTTATTTGAGGTCCTTTTCCTGTTTCATGGTTTGTTTGTTTTTTAAATTAGAATCTAATTAAATATGTTCCTAACAATTGTAAAATACATTGATTGCAGATGAATTATATTCAGTTGTGATCGATATTGGAATTTCACATGGCACATCTCTCCTGGTGTGAAGCTAAAAGGGAATTTGAATCATCCTTTATTCCTTTCCAGTGACTATACTCCATTAAACACTAAATCCAATAAATGCAGTCAATATTTAGAATGAAGTAATGTGCATATTTAATAAATTATGCATTGCTTAAATTAAAAAGAGCAAAATAATTATCTAATCTGTGTCTACCGATTGGGATATATTCATTAAAGAATAATTAAGTGTAAGCACTGTGTTACTTATAATTTTTTTTGTATTGTAGTGTTTCCTAGAAGTTCCAATTAGTATAAGGGGGCACAGAACTGGCTTCTAAACAAATGTATAGTGAGCCCTGCAAAAACATGTATGTGTGTTTTTAATTTAATGCACGGAAGTAACCACATTGTTTTAAATATGGCTGCTCACTTAGATAAAGCTCAGCATGAGTACAAGAGTTTTTGGGTCCTAACTGACAGACCCAATCCCAAACAGCTTATGGTCTCCTTATCATTGTTCCCAGCATAGTTAAAATATGGATTGGTAAAAACCATTTAAATGTATTTAATATATCATTTTCTGTTTTAGTTTTAGTCATGTGGGTTTTGGAGTGAATAAATTGCTCAAAACCAGAAATCCCAGAACAAAGCTGAATTAAATACATTTAGGAAATTCAAAGAATTCAAATGCTCTAAAACAGCAGTGCCTAGCTCAAGCCCTGTGGGGTGGGTAAGTGGTGTAGGGCTGGTCTGCAAGCTGGGTCTAGTGTTCAGGGTTGGTCTACAGCCTGGATCTGATGTGTGGGCTGGTCTGTGAGCCACATCCAGCATGTGGAGTTGCATTATTTGGTCTGTAAGGCTCCCACGAAGTCCAGAAATTTGACAGGTCTGGAAATTTGATGTTGTTAATGCTAAGTTTCCAGACCCATGGGGAGCCATATCCAGCCTGTGGTCCATATCTTGTTCACCCCAGCTCTAAAACAATTAAAGGTTTGAGCATAAACAGAGCAATCTTAGCAGCATCTGGGTTTTGTCTGAACTTTGTCTTACGCTAGTTGTGCATTAATTAGAAGTAAGGTGGAATGAGTATTGTACTTGCTAGCGTGCAAAAATTAATGCAGATTTCTCAATAGTACCCTGAAGAATACCCTGAATCTATAGGAAGGTATGCACTTGCTTAACATACTTACTGAAATCTGTCCTATTAAGTCAGAGAAGGAAATCATACCCTCATTGGTAAAGCTCCTTTTGACATCCATAACACCAAGATTTCATCCACAGGGGGTACTCACCAGGTATGGTGTCTAATACAAATTCCAGTTTCTTTTGTTTTTACTTTGTGGTACTATTTGCTTTTTGACCTTTTTGTTCAATCTACTTAACTCATCACTAATATTTAGAAACAATCAATCATTCCATTCTTCATTTGAAATAAAAAATTGATAGAGAAAAATTTTAGGAGGACCTTTAGTCCTATATGCCCTTAGCTATCTTGTGTGCTCCTAAATACTTAATTTATGTCTATTTATTTTTCTGGCCCAAGAACAAGCACATTTATTCAGCACTTCGTAACTCTGGAAATGATACCTTCCTAATAAATGAAAACATTAATCCTGTTTCAGGGTTGTCCTCAAGAATAACAGAGCACACATTTCTTCCCCTAATGACATACCTCATGCCTTGTTGCTCAGCTTCTTTATTAAAAGATAAAAACTTACCATGGCAACCTTTCAGTTAAGGGCCTGATCCAAAACCCATAGAAGCCAATGGCAAAAAATCCCATTTTTATCAGTGGGATTTAGACTAGGCCCTTAAAGAGCAATCTTGTAAAATAAAATTATTCAGACTGTGGGAATGTTTGTTTATTCTACAAGGCTGAATTGTAAGGATAAGAAATGTATTGTACCTTTTTCTCTTATGATAATAGTACTCCATTTTGGTGGCAGACAAGCTACCTTTTTCATCCTTTCACTACTGGAGAGCAGCTAAAACATGTGACACTGATTAGACCTGACAGGTTATTTCTGTGCCACTGTTCTGATGCAGGAAAATAAATTCCTTTCCCTCTTATCTAAAGCAGAGGTTTATGGAGTCTCTAGGCACTTATTGTGATCATCCTTCTGTGAGGCATATAAGAATAAACTCTACCCACCTGTCATGTCTGCCAGCAAATTGAAATGTCCCCTAAAGTGTCATGGATTCTCCTAAGCATACCTTTTAAAATCTTGATAGATTCTCCCTTGTGACTGTTAGATGAAAGATTCTTTCTAGCTATAGAACTGTCTTCATGTCATCCTGCCTTTTATTCACTCAGCTCAGCAGGGATGAGGGAGCAGAGTGAAGTTTTCCCTCTGGTTTCTATGGTATAGTAGTCACAACACCTTGGTTTGGATTTACAGCACCTCCCATCCAACAGCTAGTCAGTCCCCAGGGTTGCTTAACTTCCAAAACTAATTTGTTTCATCATGGCCACTCTGTTTTGCAGTGATCGCAAACCTGATGTTTCCACTGAAAGTGCTTGCACCACCTTAGTCCTGTCACTTGGTTAGCCAGCTGGGGCTACAGCCTTATTAGAAGCAATAGCTTTAGCTTCTAAGAGCAAACAGGCTCACGTTTTTTTCAGACAGTTTAACAGTCCCCAATACTGGATTTCTTCATTCTGTTGGTGGCCAAGAGGGGATGGTCTTCTGGTCCTAACCGAAGAGTGACTGTGGTACTTGCAGGCTGGCTAGCGAGTAGGGGGGAAGAGAGAATGCCCTGACAGAAGAATGGATGGAAAAGTTGGGTTGTTTTGTGTTTGTCTGGGTGGGGGGGCAACAATAACGAATAAGGATATAAAGCCGAAGCTTACAAACAGCCAGGCCGGTTGTCACACGAGGGGGATGCCGGTAAAAATCAGTGCTTAATGATTAGGTGGCAGCTTGGACCGCTCGCCGGTGAACTAATCCTGGGTGGGCTGCATCGCACATGGGCTCTTCTTGCACGTGGGCTGCAAGCGCCCTTCCGGGGGAGGCTGGGAGCCCGGGCGCTTGGCGGGGACTGGTGCCGAGTTAAAGGGGGAGCCGGAGCCGCTCCGAAAGCCCGGGTGTCTCTGCGCCTCGCAGCTGCTCGTCTGCGCATGAGTCCCGGCGGCAGGCTCCGAGCCTCGACTACTCCGGGGGCTGAGCACTTGGGCGAGATGCGGGCTGTGGCTGTGGCTGTGGCGGGGAGGAGGAGCGGGGGTGGGGGCTGGCTCTGGGCGGGCCAGGTGCCTCTGTG